GAAAGAAAGCAAAGATTACCTCAATGAAATTAATGAGTGATGGGAAGGTAGCCTGATTGGTCAAAAAGTCAACTAATCTAAATAATGAATACCCAGTGCTGAAAGTTCATTTGCCTATAATTGTGGTTAGCAGAATTTACAAGACATTTGTATAAATTGCAATGATATGTTGGTGTTTTATTGACTAGTCTTGTGAAGACTGACGAGTTTAAGTCTAGGACCACATTGGGCAGAGGAGCATGGATGCTAATAGTAAAAGCTGAAGAATTTAGATTTGCCATCTGAGAATCTGTCCTCATTTTGAGAACTAGTTTTTGAGATGTATTATCAGTATAGCTACAGATGTGACATAGACATTTAAGTGATCAAAAAGACTGGAGTTTGTTTTTTATAAATGCAAATCACATGTTCTTCTAGAAGCAAGTCTTGTTCAAGTCTCATTTCATAACATTAAGACTAAACCAGTCTACTCACCCTTGGGACCAGGCTCATCTAAGTGAAAGTATTATTTTTTCTCTTTCTATAAGTGCCTCTTATATATTTACCTACAGTTATTCCTGTTTCTAAAAGCTACTTCACATACCCTTACAATATCAACTGTTCCTGCCTTTTGTCCTGGGAAAACAAATACTCTGTTAGGACATTAATTACAATAAAACCTGAATCACTGACACACCCCAAGGGGAGCATCAGTAGAAATCACTCGATAATTTGGGTTTCTTCTACGTTGCACTTTTTGTAATACAGTTTATTTAAATGCTTAGAAAACTTTTTAAAAGGGGGCTTAGGGCCAGCAGGGAGGTGTGGAGGTTAAGGTGGCTGGATCCCCCATGGCAGGCTGTTCAGTTCGACTCTCAGACCCAGCATCTTGAAGTTCAACACACTGGGCACATGTGTTGCATGCCAAAATGTACCAAGAGGAGAATGAAGGAGAAGGGATTTCGGTGTGAAAATCTTTCCCGCAGGTGGAGGGAGTGCTTTCTCACTTTCTCTCTCTGTCTGTCTTTGGTAAGTGTAAGCTCCCCAAAGCAAACTAAAAAAATGGGAGGGGATATAATTTTTTTTGCAATATCATAATTATCTAACTAGTTTTCTCTACTATATGTACCATTTTAATATCATATCTCAATGTAAAATGAGCGAGTCATATTTCTAAAAATATACATGACTCAGGAATGAATTCATTCATAAACTTCTGTCATTCTGAGGAACATTGAACAAAGAGCATTTATATTGAAAACCCCCTCTGCGTGCAGTGATGTAGGTAGGGGCATCGTACACATCTGCTGAACGATGTGAAATTACTCAGTGAGGTAGGCTGAGTTGTAAAACACCACCCCTTCCCTTTCCAAAAAGAGAGAGAGAGAGAGAGAGATCTGTCCAGATGCAAACCTCGGGGATTTAGTAACATGATCTTGTTTGGAAGAAGGGTCTTTGCAGATGTCATTAAGAATTTTGAGATAAGCCTGTGGATCAGCCATGTGGACCCTAAATCCAGTGACACGTATCCTTATAAGAGACAGAAGAGAGGGAAGCACAAATATGCAGAGAAGGAGACGGAGGTGCAGATTTCATTTGTGCGGCCCGAAGCCAGAAAACACATGGGACCACCAGTGGCTGGAAGAGGCGAGAAAGAAGACTTTTTTCTAGAGCCTTTGGAGGGGGTACAGCCCTGTCGACACCTTGATTTTGCACTTTCAGACTCCAGAATTGTGAAGAAATACAAGTCTGCTGTTTTAAGCCACTGAGTGTGGCCATGTGTTATGGCAGCTCCAGGAAACGAGTACACTGGCAGAAAGCAACAGCGAGCATAAAGACTCCCAGGCTTCTTCAAGATTCAGTCAGAAGATCTGGATTTGAAAAGCTCTCTAGTAATTTTTCTGTAGGGTACATATGCTCCCCAGAGAGAGAGACAGAGGGAAAGTGAGAAGGCACCCCCCAGGAAGGATGGCTACGCCATAATCCCTTCTCCTCCAGTCTCTTCTCAGGATTTTGGACAGGAATGCACAAGTGCCTGGTTTGTTGTTCAAGCCACTGGATCTGAGCCTCGAACCATACAGTCAGCCATGTGGGATCCAGCCACCATGCCACTGGCTAGCCCAGTATTAATATTTTTAATAAATGCCCCAGGCGACTTTTATCATCACCTCTGGGAATGTTGCCTTCTCATGGATGCCACTAATGCAGTGGGCTCGGGGGAAGGGGGGGTCACATGAGCCCCATCTCTGTTCTTGGCTTTCTAGTTGTCCAATTGATCTGACATGATTCCTGGACTTACCTGTTCAACATCCTTCAAATTCCTTCCTTTCAGGCACTGAGTAAGACTCAGACTTCTTCTTTCCACTTTCCTTACTCTCATCCTTTCTTGAGAGAGAGAGAGAAAGACAGCATCCCCCCACAGGGTCTTGATGCTACAATCTGCCTCCAGCCTTTGGCCAACCCGGGATCGTGGGGAAGTGTGTGCCTAGTATACTCAGGGAGGTCTCTTGACTTGAACTAGGAACTTTCTCATGTGGGATTGCCTTGCAGAGAATTGTGTTTTACTTGTGCATCACTGTCTGGCTCTTGTTCTCTGTCTTTTGATTATTACCATCCTAATGAGTGTAAAGTAGTATCTCATGACTTTTTAAAATTAATTACTTACTTAGTTTGTTTAGAAAGAGAGGAAGACCGGTACCCCGACAAGATCTGACCATGCTGCAACCCATCTCCTGGTCTCCCAGCTAGTTGGGATCACAGAAATGCCCATGGACATGCTCACATGGCATGTCCTGAGGTCAGGTCAGGACCTGAGCCCCAGGTCTCCCAAAAGGCTCCAGTATAGAACAGGGGCATCGTACTACCTGTGCCACTGAGGGCAGGCTTCATTGTGATTTTGATTTGCATTTCCCTGATGGCTAAAAGCATTGAGTATCTTTTTTTTTTTTTTTTTTGGAGAGATTTTCACTGTAGGGCGCGTGCGCTCACTAGACAGACAGAGAGAGACATAGAGACAGAAAGCGAGAAATCACCCCCCAGGGGGGATGGTCACGCCGCAATCCCTTCTCCTCCATTCTCCTCTCGGGATCTTGGGCACACACACACATGCACCCAGCGTGAGTTTTAAGCCACCGGGTCCGGGACACGAACCGCGGTCGACTACGTGGGAGTCCAGCGACATAGCCATTACGCTAACTGCTGGTTCCCAGTATCTTTTCATCTGTTAATTGGTGCCTCCTATGCAGTTCATCTATAATTATTTTATTTCCTTCCTGTATCTGCCATAGTTTGCTGAGTTATTACATTGGAGCACTTGTTCATTGCAGGTGCTCAGCAAATGTTTTCTGAGAGAGCCTCGTCTTGACTATGGTAGGAGGGGGTGCCCAATCCACCTTTCTCTCTTAGGAGCACTGCCCTTTCTACTGTACAGCTCTCTGAGGGCAAGGAATGGGGGCTAGAGAAAGGTCCTCACCAATTTATTTTCTATTTCATTTCTTTATCTCTTTTATAAAAAAAGATTTCTTTAATTTTATTTATTATCACCATTATTATTTTAATTTGCTGTACAGTACACACACTCACTGGAGAGAGACACAGAGAGAGTGAGAAAGCAAGCCATCAGGGTACCGGATGCAAACTGTGGTTAGCTATATGGGAATCCAGTGCCCCCCAACTGCCACACCACCTGCTAACCCCTCTTTCTTTCATGTCTCAGTTTTTGCTTTTTTCATTCAGTCATCTTTATTAGCCTATCAGTGTTATATTTTTTATTGTGGTAAAATTAATACAACAGGGGGCCCGGCAGTTGGTGGAATGGCTATGTTGCTGGACTCCCATGTAGCCAACCGCGGTTCGAGTCCTGGACCCGGTGGCTTAAATTCATGCTGGGCACATGTGTGTGCGTGCCCAAGATCCCAAGAGGAGAATGAAGGAGAAGGGATTGCAGTATGGCCATCCCCCCCCGGGGGGGTGTGATTTCTCACTTTCTGTCTCTCTGTCTCTCTGGCAAGTGCTTGCGCCCTATAGCAAAAACCTATCCAAAAAGAATTAAATAAATAAAATTAAAATTAAAAAAATAAAAAATAAACAAAAACAAATAAATAAACACAGCAGGGCCAGCAGGTGGTG